TTTTAAGTCTGATCACAGCCAAAGATAAATGAAATAAATTTTCAAATAAAATTATGAATAATTGATATCATATTCGTATCTATTAGAATCAAAATCACGCCAAATGTTAATATAATATAATTGATATTCTTGTGGTTTAATAACTAACCATATATATATAGTAGTCTTATATATATAAAATAAATATATGTATAAGATAAGTTAACATGAAGCGTATATAAATTTTTTTATGTCTTCACTACATTGAATCTAAGAGAAGAGATATAGAATAAATCAACTAATAAAACAGATTAGACTTATTATACGATACGAATTTTTCTTCGTAAATTGGAGTATTTCTTTCCTACTTATACTCAATAAATTTTTGGCTAGAATATTTGCTGGGCTGAATTACATAATTTTTATTTTTTATTTACATAAGATTTAATTATATTAATCGAACAACATTAACGTCCTGCAACAAATAATAGTTTGTAATCTGCTAGTAAATAATGTCAAGTTTGATGCGAACTAATTCATGAAAGTCATAAATTGATCGACTAATACATTAATCTCTAATTAACATTGATTGAAATTAATCTAAAAAATAAAAGAAACATCTAGAGGATACCAATATACTACATCTTAAATAAAATAGTTTAATGGAAAGATTTTGTATATTTGGTCAAATTATAATGGTTCCTATTAAATATTTTAGACATAAATATATTGGTTTATATATTTACACTATTTGCAATAACTAATAGGGTAATATCTTGTAACAAAAACGAATATTTTGTATTTTTTTAAAATAAAGTAGGACAAATGTTCACTTTGAAACTAATTATTGTAACTCAATAAAATAGTATAAAATTTTATAGAACATTTATGGTCTATGATAAATTGATACTTTTTTAATAATTACACACACAAAAGTCGAAGAAAAATATGCTGATACGCAGATCCGCAAGTCTCACTCTGATATATAAATAATTTATCGATTTAATGTTTATAACTACAAAATTAATTTACATTATATAAAAAAACCTGCTTGATAACAATTATTTTACTATAAATTCTCTATATTTGATGTATTTATTTATAGTGATATTTCTAAACAGTATATTATATATTTACAGGCAAATTGTAGAATAATTTAGTCTGATAAAACGTAACTACAGCAGTATACTAAATTATATATATAGTGTTCGAAATAATAGTGATGTAATTCTTGGATCGAACTGCCAATGCTTCAATAGCTTAATTTGCCGCCCGTCT